ACCAGCAACCATTTGCTTTATGGGATGACACCCAACCAACTGAGCTACACTACTCAACATGACGGGGTAGAAGCGGAGCTGAATGTGAATTACTTGAGGGTCCTTTATAACATGCAGATTCCTCCACCCACTAGCAACTCAAAATTGCTGGTTAGTAGGCCCAGAATCTGCATTTTAAATAAGTTGCTGGAAGATTTTGATGAGATTTGCTGGGCACCCCCAAATTCTCCCAGCTGCGGTTCCCATCCAGAGGCCTCTGTTTTCCGTCTCTCCGTCTGCTCCCTCTGCTTGGCAAGTCTTCTCTTCTCTCTGTGTGTCCTGCTCCAGCTTTCCCTTTAAGCCCAAGGGAAATGCCACCCCTGCATCCTCCTGGCTGGGTGAACTATCTCCCTCCTATGGGACATTTATCACTCCCTATTTTGCTGTATAGTTGCAAGTAAATATATAGTGCATAGTCTACAATTTATAGTCTATACTTATTTTCGTATAGTAACTCATGTTCAAGTCACATCATTTTATGTGCTGAACTGTATATTCACTTAGGTCAGGACTGACTCATCAATTTTAAACTCTCAATGACTTGTTCAGAGTAGGTGCTTAACATGCATTTTGTGGAATGTCTGGCTAAGTTCGAGCAGAACTGGAAAGAGATTTCCTAAGCACTTTACTCTGAAAAATAAAAAAAATCTACACCTGCTAGAACTGAGGAAAGCTTGCTCCCCCCCCCCCTTTTTTTTTTTGCTAACGACTGGCTGTTTTTTAGCAGCCTCTAAATGACACCTACTTTGGCCTACTCTCCCTGAAGCCACAAGAGTAACCTGTCAAAACATAAGTCAGCTCAGTTCCCTCCTCTCCAGATCCCACCAAAGGCTTTCTTGTTTTTTTTTAAAAATGTATTTATTTAATTGTTGTTCAAATACAGTTTTCAGTCTTTTACTCCCATCCCAGCCCACCCACCCAGTGCTTCCACCTCCCTCTCATTTCCACCCCTCTTAGTTTTTGTCCATGTGTCCCTTGTACTTGTTCCTGTAAACCCTTCCCCTTTTCCCCTGAAATTCCCTCCCCTCTCCCCTCTGGTCACTGTCAGCCTGTTCTCTATTTCAGTGTCTTTGGTTATATTTTGCTTGCTTGTTTGTTTTGTTGTTTAGGTTCCTGTTAAAGGTCAAGTAAAAGCCAGGTCCTTGCCTCCGAAGGGCTGGTAGAGACCTATGTGATTTATCTGCACTGCCCCCTCTGCATATGTGTCTGACCCCACCTCTTGCTTATTCCAGTGTAGCCACACTGGCTTCTTCACATACATGTTGTACCTACTTATTTTATTGATTGTCTCTCTGCCGCACCAGGATATAAGCTCCATGGAAGGATAGTTTTGGTCTGTTTGGATCATTGCTGTATCCTCAGCACCAAGAAAAATGCCAGACACTTAGCAGAGGCTCATTAAATATTTGTCGAATCAATGAAGCAGTGCAGAATAAACAAGATTTAAATCCTGGATCCCAGCTTAACTTAACCTTTCAGTGCATCAGTTTCCCTGTATGTAAAATAGTAATAGCTCTTGTCTCATGGAGGTATGACACATGGTATAGTGTCCATTACCCAGTCTTTACTCAGTAATTATTCCCTACAATGGATGAGGTTTTATGGGTTACTTAAAGGGTACTTAGTGGTAATATTCCTCTCTTTTGTAGCTAGTGGATTTTTCTAGGATGTATTAATAACTCTGTGTTTCATGCTTACTAATGACTGTGACTACCACACAACACTGAAAAGGTGAATGCTTTTCACTATTTCCACTTTATGGATGAAGAAACAGGCCCAGAAGTTTAAGCAATTCTCCCCTTGCAGACAAAGCTATTGAGTGTAAAAGCTAGAATTTGAACCCGGGCTAGAGACCATGCCTTTCGCCTTATTTGTCACTGTTTCTCAGAGTGGACAGGATCGAATGCGTGAAGCCATTGGAGGCGAACAGCAGTGGCTTTGTTTCCTTCACAGCAGCACGAGAAGTTGAAAGATGGTGTCAGGTGTTCTTCTTACCTCCTTGGTGGAAGTAATTCTTTTACTCCAGCAGGTCTTGTCAGGGCTGATCATTTCCCTCTTCGCTGCCCAAAGCTCCCTCTGTGTGCGTTCAGTGAATCCTCGCCTGGAAGCAGCACCAGGGGCTGTCTTTGGTTGTTAACAACAGAAAGGGGCCTGGTGCCTAGTGGGCCACACAGACCTGGAATATGTGGGACAGCCTGCATCGTGAAGGTCTTTCTCGTTGAAAGTGCCCAAAAGGGGACAAAAAAGGGAAGAAAGTGCCACAAATGCCTCCATTAAGTCGTTGCTTTGAGACTCCAAGATTCAGCCCTCCTCATTTAACTACATTCAGCCTCTTCTTTGGTTTCACAAATATTTGTTGAGTGACAACTGAATCAAGTGCAAAAGGGACTCATGGATTAGATCATCCTTGCCTTTAAGGTGATTGGGGCCGGTTGGAGAGTTGCTGTTTATGAGGTTTACTCACAAAGCGACACCATAGGCAGCTCACTGTTTAGGAGCCCAGTGGGGTTTCAGAGGAGAAGGAGCTGCCTATTCATGCAGGGATTAGGGATGAGCTGTTTGTTGAAGGGCTGGTAGGACCCTTGATAAGTGGATATGGTGGAATGAGTGTTCCTGGTGGCACAAAATACATGATAAAATTATAGAGGTTCAGGCATCCAAGGATATTCAGGAAATGGCAGAGGATTTGCTTGAAATTTGTCATAAACTTGATACAGGAAAATGACAGGAGATTGTCAAGGCAGGAGTGGAAGGCTGCATTTAGGTTGCTGAGGTCTTAACTATCTGAGTGAAGGATTTGGACTTTAATTAATTTAGCAATAGGGAGTGATCGCAGGTTACTTGTTTAAGCAGGATGGTGACATGAAAGAATCAATAGTTTTGGATATTGTGTCTAGTCATGTGGTCCATGAGGAATTGCAATAAAAGGAGACTGGGGAAAAAAGACTAGTTAAAAGGCTTTTGTAAACATCCTTATGAGATGCATAGAGGTGGCAGCAGTTGGAGTGGAAAGGGAGGGATAGAAATGAAGAAAGAAGGGACACAGCTTAGTGACTAACGTGAGAGGTGAGGTAGTGGGAGAATATTTTGAGACCTGGGCTACCAGGAAAAAGGTGTGCCCCTGACAGACTGGGGAGTTGAGGAGCGGTTTTGAGGGAGCCGAAGGTGGTCCATTTCGTCTAATGCATGTTATGTCTGGTGACAGGGGACGCATGTAAGTGGAGATGTGTGGCAAGCAGTTTGCAGTCCTGGGTTGAGGCTCAAAAGGGAAATGGAGTTGGAGAGACACCACCTACCAAGACACTGACAGGTAAAGCCTTGAGTGTAGATGAGACATTTGGAAGACGAGTGGAGGACTAAAGGCAAAAGGACTTCATTTTGAACTTCCACAGTAACAGGAGAACAGAAACTGGTCCAAGAGGTAGGGAACAGAAAAGGAACCACAAAAGTAAGCTCTAATGGAAACAAAGGGAAGGGAGTGTTTTGCAAAGGTAAAGGCAGTGAGCAATGACTGATGCTTAGAGTGAGGATGAGAATTAAGTGCCTTGAATTTTATGACTGATTAAAAAAACAAAACTTTTAAAATAACAATTCAATAGGGAGATTGGGTTAGGAACTAGACCCTCTGCCCTGTCAAACAAGCAAACAAATAAACAAACAAACATAGCTACACGTATTTATGTGTGTGTGTATGAGTGTGTGTGTCTGCAATGATATTTAAGAGTGGATGTGTTTGGATGGTGGGATTTTGTGAGTATTGTAATATTTTTCTTTTATTTCTCTTTATTTCTCTAGTGTTCCATGAAAATACACTTTTTATATTAAGAAAACCTCACTGGTTTTTAAAGTTCTGATTTTTTATCCTGTGTTAAGTAAACATTTACTGAGTACTTAGTATGCAATGGGTATTTGCCTCTGAGGCAGAAAAAATCACTAGGCATCCCTTTGTTCTCCAGGACCTCACTGGTAGAAAAGACTAATGAAGGAACATGTGGTAACTGCTAGAAAAGAGTACACAATACAGTGGGACCGTAAGGGAAAAGTCACCTCGAATGGGAAGACTAGGAAAAGACCTCCTTTCAGTGGGTTCTATCTAGCGGTGTGCAGATAGATTTAGTTTTTGAAGAAACCAGTTCCTACAAATAGGCCTGGGCTTTATGAGCCTTTACTATTGTATCTTGCACTTTCTTATATGTTATAGTTTGGAATCATTCTCTAATTAGTTCATGTCAGTATGGTGTGTGTTTTCCTGTTTTGTGCATCTCTGGGTGTTTTATTATATTCAGTATTTTTACAAATTTCCTCTGAACTTTCACTGTTCTCTTTCTCATTCCTTTTTTTTAAAGATTTTATTTATGTATTTATCTTTAGAGGGGAAGGGAAGGAAGAGGGAGAGAAACATCAGTGTATGGTTGCCTCTCATGTGTCCCCTCCTGGGAACTGGACTGGGTACCCTGACTGGGAATCAAACCACGATCGTCGGGTTTGCAGGCCCGCGCTCAATCCACTGAGCTACACCATCCAGGGCTTTCTCATGTCTTTTTAAAAGCTCTTCCCTAGATCTGAAAGCATTCTTCTATAATGTGTGGTTTATATAGAACATCTTATAACAGTTAGACAAAATATTATGAATATCAGTCAGAAACGAAAGTCTTCATCATGAATTTTCTCACAAGTATCAAATGCTGCTGGACAAGTTTCTATTTAAATCATACTTGCTAGGCTTGACTGACTGCAGGAGTTTACAGGGTACATACCTCAGATCCACTGATTTTCAGCAAGGTAAAGCTGCACTTCCAGTAGGGCATAACACAGGGTATTCTACAAGGGTGCAGGCCAGGCTCCTTTGGGGTTGTCAGGAACTAAAACCAGCCTGTGAGGGACTGGTGGCCAGGGGTGGGGGTGGGGTGGGGGGTGGGTGGATCAGCCCGGAAGAAGGGTGGGAGAGGGGCTTCTTAGAAGAACGCAGTAGGTAATTTCATGGATATTCAAGGACAGACAACAAAGCTGGTAGGACTCTGAGGGCTTGGGGGTAGAATTCATGGTGAACCCCCTGGCCAGGCCTCTCAATCCTGGGCCTTTGGTTTCTTTTTTCTCTGTTTTTCTTCTCAAGATGGGCTTCTGCTGCTGTACCTGATTTCTGTTCTCCAGTGGCTTCAGCATGCCTCTGGGCCAGAAAAATCTCTGTGGAGCTCTTTTGTTATCTCTGTTTTTATTTGTTTCTTTGTTATTTTGTTTTTTTAATCAGTCTTGAAATTCAAGGCACTATTTATCTTTTACAATAAAGTAATACATGTACGAGCAAATAAAAGACTAGAATAGAAAGGTATAAAATTTAAAAAATTATATTAATTTCTCCCTTTTCCAAACTCTCTGACTCCTGGTACCTTTCTCTAGAGTTTAAGTTCTTTTTTTTTCTTTAGCCTGAAGATATTTATTTAGTAAGACAAACACATATATAAAGAAATACACACACATAAACATACACATGAAATTGCTATAAATGCAAATGTTCTTTTTACTTTCACAAAATACAATCTTTACACATTAATCAATACTTTTTAAAAACTCTAATTGTATATTTTGACATTCTTTCCATATTAGTCGACACTGGACTTACCTTCTTTCATTTAAGTGGCTAGGTAGTATTTCATTTTATGTAATTATTACAATTTATTAGATAGTTTCTCTGTAATGATGGACCTTTAGGTTATATGTAATTTTCTGTTAGAAACAATGCTATAATGAACATGCTTGTATGTCTATGTACTCTAAGTTTAACTCTTACATTTGTTGTATGATCAGTTTCAAGCTAATTCTTATATGTATAATGAGGTAAGGGTAGAGAGATTCTTTTTTTATTCTCACTAATTTTTTAAGAAAGGACTACAACTTCTTTTTTTAACTTTGGAGAGGTGGAGATTCTTTTTTTCTTTCTACATGTGGCTATACACTTGTTTTAGCACTATTTATTGAGAAGATTTTCCTTTCTAGTATATTGAAATATGACTGATTTTAAAATACTGACCTTGTATCCTATAATTTTGATAAACTCACTTATTAATTCTACTAGCTTTTTTGGTAAATTCTATTACATTTTATATAGATAACTATTTAATTGATATATTATCTGCAAATAAAGTTCATTTTATTTATTTCTTTCCAATTTCCGGTCTAGATGCTTTTAACTTCTTTTTCTTGCCTTGTAACACTGGCTCTACCACAATGTTGAATACAAGTGGTGAGAGCAGACATCCTTGCCCTTTCCCTGGTCTTAAGGTGAAAGCATTCAGTTTTTTACAATTAAGTATGATGTTAACTTGAGGTTTTTCCTAGGTTGAAGAAGTACCATTCTGTTCCTAGTTTGCTGAGCTGTTTTTTTTTTAAAATCCTGAATGAATGTTTAATTTTGTCAAGTACTTTTTCCACATCTATTTAGATGATTAAATGTTTTTTTTCAGTCTATTAATATGATGAATCTAAGTGTGCTTTTTTGATTACATACATAGTATAAATGCCTGCCAGTAGAATTGTGGTATTTGAGAGATTTTGACTGTTATCCTCAAAAATATTGTACCAATTTACACACTCATTTATATTGTCTTATGTGCTTCTGTATCCAGATCCTTCTTGATACTGAGTATTATCAAACTTAAAAAAATCTTCTCAGTCTGATGAGAGATAAATGACATCTCAATATTTTGATTTTGATTTTAAAAATGATGAGTAAGACATTGTCTCTTTTCTATGTCTATTACATACTTTATTTTTTCTTAGACTGTTCCTTTTCTTAGCCTATTGTATATACTGTTTATAAAATGAGAAAACTAGCTCTTGTAAATATTTTATCTTCTGCTTTTATAAAAATGTTACTACTTTAAAAAGATTGGCTGTAGAGAAGTTTTAAACATTATGCAGTTATAATTTTTTAATGGCTTTTAGGTTTTATATTCTGCTCGGAAAGATCTGTTGCCTATGCTGAGATTATAATACACTTTTACCTATGTTTTATTTGTTTAAAATTTTTTTATCCCTTCTAGTCTATTTTGGTGAGAGGCGTGAGGTATTGATCTGGCTTAGCTGTCTTAAATAACCAGAAAATTAAGCCAACACTATTTACTGCATAACATTATTTAGTACATCTTTTCTCTATTGATTTGAAATGTGATATTTATCATAAACTCTGTTTCCTCATTATTGCCTACCTTTATATATTGTGTTCTGTTTTATGTATACCTAGTCCTGTAATATAATGTCTTGACTATTGTGGCTGTATACTGTTTTAGTATCTGGTCACGTGTTGTTTCCTAATTTTTCTTTTTCTGAATTCTCCTGTTTTCATGTTTAATTTTCTAGGTGGACTTTAATGCCCTTTTGTCAAATTCTTTTTTTCCCCATATCCAATAATTTTATTGACATGGCAAAGTAGGTTTTGTTTTGCCTTGTTTTCTGCTTTGTCTGAGCACCATTGGCAGACTCTGTCTTGTCCTATATGAATGGACCACTTTGTACTTTGGCTTGCTGCTGCCCTTTCTTTCCATATTATAAAGATTATTTTTCCTGCTGTACTGCTGATTCATTAGTATTATTGTAAAATTTAAACTGTGGTCTGCCCACCCCTACAGTCCCCCCCCCCCCCGCCAAAGTCTATATAGCAGTTTATCACCTCACTTTCTGGAGGGTCAGAAGTTCCAAGTTTTATTTTGTCAAATTCTTAAAAAAATAAAAATCAAGCACTTACAATATTGACTTTCAAGAAAAACTTTAGGAAGAATCAGCATCTTCACAGTGAAGTTTCCTATCCAAGAATAAGATGTGTGTCTTATTTAACACATATATTTAAGCCTGTTCTTATTTCCATGATTTTAAGATTTTACTTTGTACACATTCTGCTGTATTCTTGTTGGATTTAACTTTGGGTATTGTACTTTTTGATTTCTATTATAATGGTATTTACTGTATTTTGCCATGTGTAATGTGCACTTTTTTGACCAAATTTTTGAGGGAAAAGTAAGGTTGTCCCTTATACATTGGTAATATTAATTCCATATCTATATAAATGTTTTAATTTTTTATTTATGCTTTTGCACTAAAAGCATAACTCTAGAAAGCAATAATGACATCTGTATGCAAAATAATACCCTGGAATATGATACTTGGCTTTGTTTCTAAATATAAATAAAAAAGTAATTGAATTAAAAAATTAAAACAAACATATTTTTTCTGAAAGTTTGGGCCAGAAAAATGTGTGAATATTATACATGGCAAAATATGTTATTTCTGACTTTTTATACTTAGAAAAATTGTGATTTTTATATATATTAAATTTTTAGTCAGCCACATCATTGATTTAACTTTTTTCCCCAATCATTTTAACTTTTTTTTGCCATTAGTGTTTACTCCTACTCTTTCTTTTGTCTAGTTGCAATGCCTAATAATATTTCCAAAAAATGCAAGACACTATGGAGATTGTGGAAGATCATTGTCTTTTTCTGACTTCATTCATGATGGTTTTGTTAATATACTATTAAGCAAGATGTTGACCTATGGTTTGAGATATATACACTTTATATAATTTAAGTGCTATAGAGGAATTAGGGAATCAATCTATTTTAACTTTTCTAATGATCTCAAAATTGAAAGGGATATTGACATTTATCAAATTCATTTTGGGTGTCAGTTTGTTCATATGGCTTTGTACTTTGATATACTAATGGGAAAAATGATATTAACATATTTCCTCATGTCGAATTATCTTTACTAAATTCTATTGGCTGATTTTAAGAAAGATGTCTTTGTTTTTTATTTCATTTTTCCAGTAACTCATTTGTACTGTATTTTACAAGAGTTCTGGTCTACAGTGGCTTAGAAAAGAAAAAAGAACTTGTCTTAGGCTTATATGGTTTGAGAATAGTGTACATGACTTCCCTTTGTATTCCTTCAGTTAGAACTTAGTTTCATGGTCATCTCTAACCATAGCAGAGGCTGGAGATGTGGGCTAGCTGTATGCACAGGGAAAAGGGAAGAACATGCATATCGGTGAGTGCCTGTAGTCTCAGGCACACTTAGCTCACATACCTAGAAACACAGCCTAAAGTCTGAGATTGAAATGAGAGGACTAAGTCACCAGGGTGAGGTTGAGCATGGGAAGTATATCCATCTTACTTTCATCCATGTTGTCTGGTTTTTAACAGGATTTCCTCACGAATATTCTTAAGTAAAATTGGTAGTAGTTTTATTGTTGTGTGCTGCTTGATTCAGGTTACAGTAAGAGCGTTTTGCTATTTTTACTACAAGTAATTTGAAGTTGTTCTTACTTTCCATTCTTGTTCTGGAAAAGTATAAGTAGTATTGGAATTATCTGTTCTTTGAAAGTCTGAAAGAGAAACCACCTGAGTCTTGTTTCTGAGGCACTCTTTTTAAATATTCTAAATCTCTTTCATTGTTACATGTCTGCCTAAGTTCTTTGTCTGTCTTGGGATCCATTTTTGTCATTTCTGTTTATCTAAGAAAGCATTCACTTTACAATTTATTTAGCATTAGAACAAGTAATATTTATAATTTATTTATTTAGAGATTTTTCAGAGTAGTGTTCCAATGTTTTTAATTGTGGTTCAAGTACAGTTGTCTCCATTTGCTCCCCTGTAGTGTGCCAATTATTAAATTTCTTGTGTGTTGTGTTGCATTTTTATTTCTAATTTTATTTGTGTTTTCTTTTTCCTTTTCTAAACTAAAGTGTTCTATTGTTGTTTTACTGTGTTTCTCCAGAGAACTACGCCTTATATTTAATTATTCATTCTATTGTTTTTCTGTTTTCTAATTACCATAGTTTGCCCTGTGTAATGTGTACCCACATTTTTGGCCCAAACTTTCAGGGAAAAAAAATCTTTTGTTTATATTTTTAATTTATTTATGTTTAGATACTTGTTTTTCATATTATAAAGGAATTTTAACATTTATTTTTGAACATATTATGGTACAAGAAATTTTATGTAACAAATAGTTCCAAA